ACGTGATACTCTACAATTTACTTAAAGGACAAAGTGGTGAAGGGGCCACGATACACTTAAAAAAATCGATGTACTAAACATACGTTACTTACGAAATTTATTGGAATTTAGATTTATAGTTGATCTTATGTAAAAGGGAATGGCTTGACTTGAAAAAAGTTGAAATTCTCATGGGTATAGTTAGTTTAAGTTTTTTTTCTGACACATCCATGATTTTTACCTCCCAAAATATGCAAGCATTTAAATCATTGCCAAGAAAATGCATTCTCAGATTATAATGAATGACTGAATGGCACTTCCATTTCCATTTATAAGGAAAAGTAGGCTTTTAATGCTCTGAATTTAATTAATTTTTTTCATCGTTTCTTGTTAAGGAAATGGTTAATAATATTAAGGAAAATATTACACTCTAAAGTAAAGATTTTTTTAAAAAATACTTCTTCTCTAAAAAGCAAATTACGTTTCTAATCTGTTGTGATATTTTAATGGGAATAATCTTCCTGCGTAATAATTTTATAAAAATTGAAAAAAAAACAGAAAAAAATTGATATTAGTTTATCAGTAAAGAATGCGTTTACAATCATTTCATAAGTCATTCCAACAAATATACAAAGAAAAAATCTCAATTTGTATCTGTTAGAATATGAGTACCTCTAATTGTCTGAAATATGAGGATTAAGAGCTACATTAAGTACTTGAAAAATAGTTGTAAGCAAAGAAAATATAGTAAAATCTCTTTTAAAATGAATTCTTTCATCGATTTTATTAATAAAATTGAATTTATTATGCATTATTGTAGTGCTAATTGTTTCTTATATTTACAATAAGAGATACTTTATGTGTAAAACCATTTTATGTTTTATAGCGAATTCGAAAATTAAGTTTTAAAGTAATGGAACTGCTGTTTTTACATTGAAATTATTTAGAATGTATCAGTTAAAATTTTCTTAACTTTAATATAGTATTAGCAAAATGAAATATTTGCAGAGAAATGGTATGAAAGACACTAATGTGTTTTTCGCATAAAATAACTAGTAAGAGAAATATCTAAGTATAACAGTTCCTACTCTGAGTGTCATTAAATATCATTGAAACGTTCCCTTGATACCAATAATTACATCAGTGTTTCTGATATCAAACTTTACTTGCAAATATGCTACTAAATGATTAGCCGAAGTTAATGAAAGGTTATTGAATTGTCACAATAAAATAAAAATCGTAAGCCTTAGTCGATATATAAATAATATTCTACAACAACCTGTCATGCTGCATACTAATACAATACTATTGCCAATATAAGAACTAATCGAAATAGATCTCGTAATTTGGAGTCAAGATAAAAAAATAGTGTTAGTATGAGGGTATTAAAGTATCCGCCTACTTTCGGAACCGTGATTTTAAAAAAGGGCATAAATGAATAATTTTCATCATATTTAGTGTCATTTAGAATAGAACATATGTATATTGTTTTAAGGACATTATGACAAAAAAAATTATTTGAATTCAATATTTTGGCAAAAAATTAACTTACAATAACACTTTCTCAATATACGTTCTTCTTTTATAAGAAATGCTTCTATAATAATAGTAATATTTTGCTTATATAAAGGAAAGACTTCTCTCCAGAAAGTCTGAACTAGGATTTTTGATAATTCACATTATTTTCAGAGTTACCACCAATTGACATAATTATCGACGCTTTTTTCTTAAAATTTCTCTCCTATGTTGTAGTAAAATATGGATAAATCAACTTCTAAGTTATATGTTTAAAAAATTCTAGTTCAGCCTCTGTACAGAGGTCAGAGCTATACACAGGCAATATATTATTATAATAGACGCGTTTTTCATAAAAGGAGAATGTTTTAAAAATTGGTCATTCTATGTCCTTTTTTTGTCAAAATATTGTATTTAAATAATTTTTGGTTGTAATAATATTCTAAAAACAATTTTATATACGTTTTCTAATCTATGTGGCATTAAATATAAATATTATCCATTTATACGGTTTTACAAAATCACGGTTCCGAACGTAGTCGGATATCTTAAACGTTAGTAGATTTAATATGTGGCAGCCACTTTATAATGCAGTTTTAAAGTACGAGAGACGAATATGTTACCTGTTGTTCCACAAGTCACTGAGTTCCAACAGGTCTAGGGTAAGTCAATGATGTTGTGCACTAAGAGCATTCAGAACTATGAATGTGTAGGGTAACAGGTATTGTTTAAAACCCTGCAAGATACAATAAGGGATATGGTACGGAGAATCTTGAGAAACTCAAAACTTGATTGTAGATTTAAATAAGATGGTTTTTCTATTGAAGAAAGTCAACGACTGAAGATTGTGATGTTCCTCCCCTTGGAAGAACATCTCTCGAAGTATCAGCGTGAGCTAGAAGCGTAGGATTAAAGAAAGAACTAGAATCAAACATTATCTTAATATGACTTTATTAAGATATTCAACTTAAACCTTTAACAAATTAAATTATATTAATTAATATGAGAGAATCTATGATGGCAAAATACGCAACACATAATATTTATAATAAGACTTAATCTAATTCAGACTACTATCAATAAGTGAAACACCTAATCCCTGATTCTAATATTAAATAATCAATCCTACCTTATTACAGCTTGGAGAAACGATCAATCTTGTCCTATGCTTAATCTTGTCTTTGTATGCACTGGTGTGCAACTTGACTTTTATATATTCAATCACTAAGAACTTCTATTCACGTCACGTAAAACTCATTCAGATTTGAACCACGATCCCCTCTAATAGACGTCGGCTACCTGCCAATTTCCATTCACTATCACACATTCCCATACATTGCCATCACGCTTACTCTATGTTCCGATATTTAAAAGCTTGTTCATTTGCATCTTATACACTTCACTTCTTGGATTTAATTGGAAAAGAGTTGCCATTAATTCTGGCCAAAAGAACCCTAAGGACATGTTAAAGAAAAGACGCGTGAGCCCGTCACAAGATGTCCACTGAAAAGGCAACTCAAAATGATTTGCTTTCGCCTCAAACTCTAAAAATCTAGGAAACCCACTAAGATGGGTTCCATGAATTTACTGTTACAATGGTGGAGTTGTCCAGGTAACATTTCCTTGCATTTTAAAATATAGTCCCATGAAAATTAACTGGTCTGAAGGAACAGATACCCCTTTTAATCAATGTTGCATTGAGGAAAGAGGTTCTACTGTAGATGAATCTCTCGAGATTAGTACAGTTACATAAAATAAAAAAGTTCTCTTCCTCCCTATCTATGTGGTATTTAGATAAATATTGTCTTTGATTTAAGCTGTCAAATAAAAAATCTGGACTTTCTTATTGTCAAGAAGTGGCAATACTGAGTTGAGTCCCACGTCTACGGCAATCAATTCGATGCAAAACCGGAATAACAGTCAAGATTTCCTTTATGAATTTGTAAGAACAGTTTGATTCGATATAAATTTCTATGCAAAAACAATTATTATCATCTTTATTTCCATCTGTGTAAGTTTGATCAATGTTATAATATTGAAGTTGGTTAAATTCTCTCTCTCTCATCATATCTTAAACATAAAATAAACTTTGGTCTTGAAAAAAATCAGTTAAACATATCTAACATGGGGTTTTTGGTCGTTTGTTGGACATGCTCAGGTTTTAAAGGATTACTATCACCTCATCTCAGATTTCCTTTATAACCCTGCACAAATATATGAGTTTTCTCATTGAGTATTACTTCTTCTAATTGTCAGCAGTCCCTGATTTATAGTTCTTGGCCCATGCTAACCTTTTTTAATAAATTTTAAAAATAATTATTTGTTTTTCAGAATTCTTGATACGCTTGATTTGCCTACACCTGGGATGGCAAACCAGTGGCACGCGTGTCATTAATGGCACGCGACACAATATTTTGGGCACTCCACCGATCAAAACGTTTTGCATTTTTATTCAAAATAACTAACAATAAGTTCTATATGAAGTATTACGAAAAACGTGAGTGATCGGTCGCAATTTTCAGCGAAATTTTCTCAGTTCAAAGAATTATCGGAAACGCACACGTTTTTTATGAACTTAGATGTGACTTCATTTAATAAACTGAATTTGTCCCCATTCTATTGGCTGCAAATTGAAAAATTTCAAATGCAACTCTGATTTCCAGTCTGGTTCAATATGGATTCAAAAATTTGTTGAAAAAAAGAGAAACTTGGAATTGATTAAAACAAAAAGATTAACAAGTAATATAAGTAAAAAAAAAATTTAATAAATAATAAAGTTTTGGAAGCAGGGAATTCAATTCCAGATACATTTAGCTGCTTGAAAAAAACTCTGGCTCATGCTATTTTAAACATATTTTCATCTACCTATGCCTTCGAGACATTATTTTGAGAGAAGAATAACATTAAAGACTCACTTAGAAATCGTTAGGAAGATAACTCTAATTCAGCTTGCATTCTGGTAAAAGTAACATTTTACAACCCTAATATAAGTTATTTATCATCTAATCTATCACGACAAAATTCCCACTAATGTTACTTGAATTTGAATTACACGCATAAATAAAACGCGTGCGTTTACTACTATACTGGGAAAAATGTATTTTTTCGTTATAATTAAAGAGTTTTGAGTTGTTGGTATTTAGTTTTATTTTCTCAATAATCACAAGTCAAAGTTATTTGACTGCACGTCTATACCACCTTAAACATCTCTTAAAAAATGGCTTGTTGATCCAAAAGGATTCACCACCCCTGTCCGATACCAACTCTCGCTGTCACAGATATGTGATTTTTAAGATCAATAATATTTACACGTTTCCTCAGTGTAATGCATATACATAAGTATACAAAAGTCCCTTGCAACACAACATGCAAACGTAACCTCCATTTATTACATTCAAAGGCTCACAAATGAAGCTGAATCAGTAAAGCAGCTTTAATATGGCCAAGATGAAAGTCTTACCACCTGAAGGCAGATAAAACAAGCTTAAGGGGTTTCATGTCACCTAGCCAGTAAAGTGGATATGACCCTCGTCTTGTAACCGAGTGGATTCGGGTTCGAATCCCGAGTAAGACATGGTTGTATCTTCTTCGGGAAAGAAGTCGGTATTTCGCATGTAATGTATTCCCGTCTCGAAAGGAAAGAAGCGCACCTCTTCTTGTTATATGCTGGGATCATCATCTGTAATAAAATGTGTATATTCTTCTTTTGTAATGCTTTCAATTCTTCTTCACTTGTATTTCATATGTTCCCAGGATAAAAAAAAGCACGTAAACAACAAGGTGGTTTCATGGGCTTTCTGGTAATTCATGAACAATTATCAAAAAAAAATTGCATGTCTCAATTAATTTGCGCAGCACATTTATCTACCTGTGGTTACTCATTGCTTATATTTTTCACCTGATTCCATTATTTATCATCATACGACCATGAGTCAAAATTGGGACAAATTTCATTAAATTTATTATTTTATTTATTAAATTATAATTAAATCTGTTTAATCTCACAACTTTTATTTATTTATTTTAATTCGAAAAAATATTAATAGAAGCCAAAAACCAACAAGTAGTTAGTTACCTATCCTCCATCAACGGCAGTGGGATTTAATTAAAGGCTAAGCATGTTTTTTTTCAAAATTTTTATTTTTAAACTGTTTTTTTTGAATATTTTTCCAACAACGGTTATTATCTCTTTCATGATGAACTAAATAGAGATATAGTAATTAATTAGTAATAGTCACTCTTTTTCACATTGCATATTCTATCAAAATTGAAAAATAGTACCAGACCGCAATCTTGAAGATTCAGCTTTTTTTATTAGCAATACATACAAATTGCATTTTGTTCAGTTCAATTTAAATCTTGCAGATTTCACTCCCGCGTGAAGAAGGCGTTTCTAACCTTACGCGATTTCGAATAATTTTTGTGCTCTGTATCCTTCTGCAAGTTTATCATACTTTTATTTAATGATGTAAATATGTAGAAGCTATGTAATTAAAAAAACAACAAAAAAACTAATGAAATGAAAAACTTAATCAGAAATGAAAAAAACTGTTTCAGAATATTAGAATGTCCAATCTTTCAGCAAGATATTTACTGAGTGGTTTTGTTCACAGTTTTGCCCCTGCTTATGTGTTAATGCCATAATTGTGTAGAATTTGATGGTGTTAATGTCATGAGTGTTTACTGTATTCCTTGCAAATGAAAGTAGATTTAAAAAACATGACATATTACTTCCTAATATAATTTAATATTACTTTAAAACTCTTTTAATTTTCGTTTCTGCACACTAAAGCAGTGTTCCCCAACTCTCGGGACGTGGATCAAATAGTAGGGGGCTGAATAAGGAACATTAAATTATTTCCATTTTATTTCTTGTTTCCTCTGGGATTTGTGTGACTTTTTATGGAAATCATTTTATACTCCATGTTAAATTGCGTTACATTCATTTTTTGGTGTAACTATATTTTATTCAGAGAAGGCATGTTTAAATACAATTAAAATAAAAATATTAATTCAGAGCAATCTAAAATATAAAAAAAATTAAACCCCTCCCTCCTCTTAGGGGGCAGCGGTAAAATTATCAAACGAAGACCGGTCCGTGGGTGTTAAAAGGGTGGGAAGCACTGCACTATTGGATACAGTTAAATTACAGAACTTAAATGAGTGAGAAAAACATATGAAAGCCGTATTACTTGAGAATAGTTTAAAATACTATAAAATCTCTAACAATTTTTACACAACAGTTCAAAAAGTGTTTTACTCATCTAATACTTAGTTACCATTTACAAATAACTTATTAAATACCCTCATGAGAGAAAGTTTAATGTTTCAGATATTTTAACGTCTTATTTCTAATTAATCGCGAGAAATTAATTTGTAAATCAAATATATAAACTGAAAAACTATGTAGTTTGTATGGTTTTGATAAATCTTTCGTTAAAATTGAACTAATAACAATTACTTTTCAATTAGAAATTCATTAACATGTCTCAATGAATGCATGGCAGTGTTATATTAGTCAATATCATATGATATGTACAAAAATACTGACGAATTATTAAAATAATTCCCAATTGTTTTGAAATTGAAACTGTTTAAAACATTTGAGCAAATACCTGTAAGAAAACTTTGTACCAACAAAAACAAATGTTATTTTAACCACATACTAGAATATCGTCACCAGTACACTGTTAAGCAATCATTATATTATTGACCAAAGAGACATCCCCAAATTGACCTGGTAATCAGTTACCCGAATAATTCAAGTGCAATCAAGATTATAACTAATTTGGTCTTCTCGCAATTACCTCGGTGTGATCACCTAGACGCAGAGGACTGTCCTGACTTTGAGTGGCCATCAGTCTCACCTGCTACTGTACAATCGAGCGGTTGGAGTCTGGATATCATGCGATTAACATAAGTGCTCTTGTGTGGCAATTAGCTGTGTGTCTGTAGAGACAATCATTTAGATTCAGCAGAAAAAATAAATATTTTGTTTAGCTGCAGGAATAGTTCTTCGAGACTTAAGAAACAATGGAGGCAAATAAAGTCATTGATATCTTTTTAAATGCTTACATCTTATAGAATAGTTTACTTTTAAATATTATGGAAATTTTTACCAATTTGAAATAGATAATGTGTGAGATGGATTACTTAAACAAAAATAATTTTGGTACATTTTATGTTAAAATAAAAGTAAAAAGAGGCATAAGTAGATGATGAGATGTGTTATAACTAATTTGCCTTATTGCATCTTCTTCAAGAGTTATAACACATGTATGTATATATACTTATTTTAAATTTGAAGGTATTATATTACTGTGTATTGATAAAATTTCATCATTACATATTTCTAAGGAAAAATAGGAATTCTTGCAATAAATTTAGAACAATGTACTATGGAATTTCAAACTTTCTCAATCTAATACAATAAAATAGTCCTCGAATCTTTCCTTTACAAGGAACAAATATTATAAAATTAATATAAAAACAGTTTTAGTAATTTTTAAAAACAATAATGTGTAATATGTACTTTTGTGAAATGTCATTTCTTGTTTTCGAAAATACTGTTAAGTTTTGTAGAGTGTTGTATTTTAACAAATATGTTGCTTTAGCTGGTAATATTTATAATTTTTGCTAATGAGAAGAATGTATTATTTAATAAAACAACATACTAATAGTTAATATATCAATGAGCTAAATTATGTATATTCTTGCTTTAGATTTTTTGTAGTTGTTTACCCTTCCTTTTAATATTGGTGAATGAATTTTGGTACCAAGGTTATAAAGATCGTTTTTGTGGTAATTCTTCTTATTTTGTGGTAATTTTAATTGATATATATATATATATATATATATATATATATAATTTATATCAAATTTTTATTAATTGAAAAGATATTTATTTAATAGTTTATTATTATATATCTTATATTTGCGTCTCTCTGTCAACTTTTTATAAACGAAATTGTACCAAATATAATTGTTACTGGTATTGCATTCAGCTATAAATGACTCAATTATGCAGCGTGGTATTATAAAGTTTAAATTTTTACTAAAAATAATCGAAAAACAAAATTAATTTTCATTTATTATTCTTAGAACGCTTTTACATTTGTCACAATCCAGAGTTATACATTTTCCCAGCTCTTTTTTTTATCATTTTTCTTTATTTATATGTTTTTTAACTATGGTACATACTTCTATGCTTCTAGAGGGTTTGGGTGTCGATCTTCAGAGTTTTAGACCTCGGAAAAGTGACAAGGACAATACCTGAGCTGGTATCCCAATCTTCAAAACACCATAACTTACCAATGTAAGGACTTTGATTCTCACAGGTTTTAACGAGTAACATTCATTCTACATGGAGGGTCACAAAAGTTATTTGAATAGAATAGTGGCAAACCATTAGCATTACTCGACAGAACCAATCAGGTAATTTGTTCGAGTACATAACCATTCAGCAGCCACGGCTACTTGACTTTTCAATGCAACTAATTTAGAACTCAAAAAATTGCGTCAAAAACCATTGTTCCACCATTTGAATGACGTAATTTTTGTGGTCAAACCTTCGGCTTCACAAAATATTTTGATTTCTGGGAATAAAAAAATGTTGAGTGAAGGGAGATCAGAAAAATAAGGTAGACGACACAAAATTTCAAAGACAAATTAATTTCGTAGTTGAATGGACTTTGCGACATTTGATCTCCGGAGAAGTATTAATCTCCCATCTTCAAAATTGGGATTTGAACAATGAAAAAGAGATATTATTGTTAAACTAATGATAAATTAGAAGCAAAAAGTTAAAAATTAAAATTAATTTACACGTTAAGTTGACATAAAATTGTTGGAGCCTAAAGTGTTGCTTGCTTTGTTTTATGTGTGATGCAAGTAAAAACTTTATTAAAACTACAGATATGTGAAATTGCTACTTGGCTCTTTGTTGACCAAATATAGCTCTGTTAAAAGAGGCAAATAATCTGTGAAACTGATCTATTTTAGAATATCTCGATCATCTAGCTCGGCAGCCGGGAGAACCCAGCATTTTGCTCGCCGATCTTCCGACTAAAGAGTCATACATAGATAGAAAATAGATTTCCAGCAAGCGTCAGCAAACTACGCGCTCTTATTCATACTGAATGAGCTAGAATGATTGAAAAATGATGAGAAGATTCTCTATAAAGGGATTGGTTGGGACTGCAGAAGGCTGTATAATAGTAGGTTTATATTTGCTTAGGGGCTGCAGGTGCAAGACCAATCAGGGAGCTATTACTCGTTGGGATGTGTCTCGGGAGTTCGAAGGATTTTGAAATAGAAATATTTGTCCGGTCAAGAGATCACGAGAGCTCACCTCCCTATTGGTCGAGTAAATCATTTTGGTTTGTAGTTTGCTGATGCTTGGAAAGTTAGTATATTAGAGAATTTAAGTTGAGAATTTGGGACTTGAAAATAAAATAATTTTGCAAATAGAACTCATTCCTCAATTGCAGTTCGGGAAAGAGGTGCAAATGCATTGTCTAAAAGAAGATGTATGTCTTTATAATCGTACCGTCGTGTATTTTGGTTTGTATATTA